AGCCTGCATTGGGCTCCACACTCAGCATGGAGTCTGCTTGGGATTCTCTCTCTCCCTCTGCCCCTCCCCCTGCTCGCGTGTGTGCACTCTCTCTCACTCTAAATAAATGCATAAAATCTTGAAATACAGTGAGGGTTATTTGTGAATGTTTGGATTCTACTTTGGGCTTACCCCACCCCAACATACTGGTTGGTTTTAATTATGTTTTGGGTATGTGAAACATCACTATATTTCCAAGAGTCATAGCCATACAAAAAAATACATGCAAAGGAGTGTCATTCACTCTTCATCTTAATGGGTACCCCATTTCCATTACCCATTTCTTCCTATTCTCCATTCCCACCAACCAGCTTTAGGTAACCAGTATCTTTTCCTTCTGGTTTATCCTTTCTGCATTTCTTTTGCACAAATAAGCAGATACATGTGCATTTTTTTATATCCCTTTCTTTCTTACATGAAAGTTAGCATCCCATAGTCACTCCTGTGCACTTTCCTCCCCACCTAACAATAGGTCCTGAAAATATCAATGATAATTACTGATATACAAGAATTGGCACTAAGAACTTTATCAAATCAAGAGGTTTTTTGTGGACACTTTTTAAGATTTTTATTTATTTATTTATTTGACAGAGAGAGAGACAGCGAGAGTGGGAACACAAGCAGGTGGGAGTGGGAGCGGGAGAAGCAGGCTTCCTGTTGAGCAGGGAACCCAATGTGGGGCTCGATCCCAGGACCCTGGGATCATGACCTGAGCCTAAGGCAGATGCTTAATGACTGAGCCACCCAGGCGCCCCTTCACGGACACTTCTAATTCACATATATTAGCTTACCTCCTCAAAATACTAATTGATTTGAAAATCTTACTGAAAAGGCTTCTGCTTACTGGCTTGTTATATAGTGAGAAGTACGATTGCTGGCTTCTGCTTTATGCTTCCAAGAACAAGCTTATATACTTAAAATGTAACACATGGCACAATTACTGGGATAATAAGGTGCCATTTCTCGTACAACATTTACTATAAACTTAAAACCATCCCATCTCTAGGTGCAAACAGGTGCATTTGCATTTTGCTTAAGGAAGAAATAATCATGAAATTTAAAATATATTCCTTGAGTAAGTGTAAATAATCACTAATTTCCTACTTACAATATTTAACATTTTCCAAATCTTGAACATAAACACCAATTTTAATTTAAAGGGCCATTTCTTATACAATGTTCAATATAAATTTAAAGATATCCCATCTCTAGGCACAAAAGAGATTTACATTTTGCTTATGATAGACACGATCATGGAATTTAAAATGAGATCACTTTTTTTTTTAAGATTTTTTTACTTATTTATTTGACAGACAGGAAAGAGAGGGAACACAAGCAGGGGGAATGGGAGAGGGAGAAGCAGGCTTCCCGCGGAGCAGAGAGCCCAATGCAGGGCTCGATCCCAGGACCACAGGATCATGACCTGAGCTGAGGGCAGACGCTTAACAACTGAGCCACCCAGGCACCCCAAAATGAGATCACTTACGTGTAGTCACTAATTTCCTACAAACAATATGTAACATTTCCCAAATACTGAACATAAACTTCTTGAGACTTTTTCTCTCGATGAAAGAGAGAGACTAAGAAGTGACAATGTGGGGAGACATAATTCCTGGAGCTCTTTTCAGCACTCATCACAATCTGACATATTACATGTTTGTTTATTGGCTTTCTCCCACTGCGAGAACGTGGGCTATGTAACAGCGGGGACTGTGTCTGTTTTGTTCACTGACTTAACTTCAGTCTTGTATTTGATGCATTCCAAACACCCATTCTAAATGAGTAAATTGATGATGATAATGGAAGCTCTTCAGCATTCAATGTATTTCCAAGGTGATATTTATTCTGATTCTTCCAAAGAAGCAGCAGGAGCTAGTTTATCCAATATTTAGAAAAAAGCAGATGTCTTTTAAAGTTGTACCGAGTTAGCAATGAATATGAGAGAAATCTGAGACTGTTTCAGAAGCCCACTGATAAGTGGGGACAGTTAAAAACGTAGTTGGGGGAAATATGCTGCTTCGAGCTCTGGGCTGGACTGGATTTCTATGAAGAAATTAGAACCTTATGATATTACAGATGACTCCCTGTTCCTCATTACTAATTAACCATGACAAGAGATTTCTCTGAATATTGGAAACAGACACGTTATAACTCTTGTTCTTCTGTTGAAAATCCTCAAAGACAAGGAGAATAAGAGACATGCAAACTCCACCTATATGGCTGTCTATAATCTCAGATTATAACATAGAAGGTTAGAAAGTAGATGTATATTCATAAATGACTTAGTAGATAGAAGAATGTGAAACAAATGTCTGCTGGGAGGAAGGACAATAGGATGGGGCCAAATCATCTGTAAAACCTCAGAAAAGCACAGGAGTTAGAAGCACCAGGTGCTGTGGATGATGGGGTGAGGAAGGTAATTGAAAATACAGACATTATTTGAAGTTTATATAAGAAGCAGTTAGATCTCCAGAGAGCCACACCTACCCTGCCCAGCCAGGTGACCACCTTCTCCAAAACCCACAGGAAAGAGAATTATATTCATTAGAGAAAAAAAACCAGGGAGAATAGACTTAGGGATATCAGGCACAGAACAGGTGAGGGTCAAGTGCAGGACTGAAAGCGAGGGACTTGAGTAAAAGTCTGCATACTGAATGCTGAAACTCCAGCTCTTCTCTTGCCAGCTCTAGATATATACCCAGGATATATATCCTCCAGGAAAGAGATGGGTGGATTTTTTGCTAGAGAAGAACAGCACAAGGAAAAAACTTTATGAACACTGACTTTTGGGTGTTTCCAATAAAGGCTGGTGGGTCATCTTACTGCTGTATAGTTAAGCTCTCTATACACATAAGCTTCCAATCAGTTTTCCAGTGCCTAAGTATTAAGGAAGAGATAAGAGAAAATACTGCATCTATAAAACAAGAACAGAATGCTATGAAAAAGAAGGGAACAACTAGGGCAAAAAAAAGAGTTATTGGAAAACTATGACAGTCAATCCTTGTGAAAGGACTGGAAGGTGACGTTGCGAAAAATCTCTTAAAGTTAAATCAAAAACCAAAATAGAAAAACAAAAGTAGAATACAGGAAAGAAAACTTAAGATACTAGAGTATCAGTATAAGAAATCTAATTTTTGATTAAAAAGAGTTGTAGAAGGAGAAAACAGAGCACATGGTGGTGATAAAATTATCAATAAGTAGTACAAAAGCACTTCCCACAATCAAAGACTATCTCCAGGGCTTGCTAGGTACCAACAGAATAAATGGAAAAAAGGCCCAAGGACAATGGTGATAAAAAAGAAGATCCTAAAAGTTTCTGGAGAGCAAAAATGGTATAAAGAATTAAGAATAAGGGATGCCTGGGTGGCTCAGTCAGTTAAGTGTCTGCCTTTGGCTCAGGTCATGATCCTAGAGTCCTGGGAATGAGTCCTTCATTGGGCTCCTTGCTCAACCTGCTTCTCCCTCTGCCTGCCGCTCCCCCTGCTTGTGCTAGCTCTCTCTCTGACAAATAAATAGATGAATAAAAATCTTCAATAAAAAAAAGAATTAGGAATAAGAACATCATTTAATAACAAAATTATTAGAAGCTCAAGACAATGGAGCAATGCCTTCAAAATTCTGAGGGGAAATAATTCTTAACCTAGAATTACATTATGTCAAATAAATAGTAATGTATGAGAATGGAATAAAGATGCTTTTAGAAACATTAAGTTTTAAAAACTTACCTCCCATGCACTATTTCATAGGAAGCCACTGGCGGATGTGCCCCACCAAAATGAGAAATAAAATCAAAAAGGAAGATGATGACATGGGATCAAACACAGAAGAGAAATAATGGGAGTTTCCAGGATTAACAGCTAGGTGGTAAGCCTCGAGAGCATCCTAGGTCCAGGCTGAGCTTGATGGAAGGCTCTAAGATCAATGTCTCAGGGGAAATGTAACTGATGTAGAAAATTGTACTGAGAGGCATTTTACAAAGCTATTAAGGATTATCGATTATAGCTGCAGATTTGAAAAAGAATAAGCAAATTTTACTTTATTTAAAAAATTTTTTTAAGTAGGCTACACACCTAACGTGGGGCTTGAACTCACAACCCTGAGATCAAGAGTCACATGGTCACATGCTCTACCAACTGAACCAGCCAGGTGCCCCCTGTCAAGAATAAGCAAAATTTAAAATGAGGCATTTCCAAACCCCAGGAAAAACAAAATTGCTCAGGAAGGAAATGTTATCCTTGGTTCCACAATGAAACATATGTGCACAGTACTAATACTAAAAATACTGTAATATGGATTCAGACAAAAATCATGATATAATGGTATGAGATGATGGAGGGAGGAAGGAAAGTGAAAGACCTAAAATTCTCATCATCCATAAGCAGCAGCAAGAGATAACATATAAAAATGATGAAAAAAATTACAGCAGGATATGAATATTATTTAGAAACAGTGGAGGTAAAGATCAGAAGAACAGCCTCAGAGGTTGAAAGTGGTGCCTTTGGCGTGAGGAGGGGAAAAGAATTGCTGGTTTTTATTATAAGTCTTTGAGCATTATTTGATTTTTGAAATCATGCATATGTTACTTTGATAAAAACAAATTTAAAACCCAAACATATAAAAATATTATGGACAGTACAGAAGGAAGAGTTTTGAACTAGGAATGAAAATAAAAAACTACTGAGTGCTTATACTGTGATTTGGATAACTCATATAACTTCTTTGAGTCTCGACTTCTTTATCTATTCATTATGGGACTCTGGTTATTTCTGAGGGCCTTTCAAACAATAAGGTTTTCATTCCATAATGACAAAGTATTTTTCTAGGAGCAGCAAAGAAAGAGAAACTTTTCTCCATGGTCTCATGGTATAGCTGTACACATTTCTGTCCACTTTGCTAAGGGTCCCCCTACCTTTATGTCCAAATGGAACTGGCATGCCCGCACCCTGGAAACCCTATTGTACCTGTGAGGCTAGTCTCCGCATAGCCTCCTCCTGCCGCCTGCGCATTTCTGGGGTTCCTGGGCAGCTTCCACTGGGGATGGATGAGTGGGCTGAAGGTGGCTGTGTGAGTGGCAGCTCTCTGTTGGCATCCACATCTGGATTAAAAAGATGACATGTTTGTATGAGATATTCATAAAGCCCTGAGTAAAAGGAAGATTGGTTAAATTCCATTTGTTCTATGATCCAGCAATTCTACTCCAAGAGAAATAAAAACTTAGGTCCAGAGAAAAACTCGTACACAAATGTTCAAAGCAGCAAGATTCGTAACAGTGCAAAAGTGAAAACAATCCAAATGACCACCAACTGACGAACAGTTAAAATATGGAAAATCCATACAATGGAATATTACACTCATTCAAAGAAGCCAGTTACAGAAGACCGTCTACTGTATGATTCTCTTTATATGAAATTCCCGGAGTAGAGAAATCCATACAGACAAAAAGTAAATTGGTGGTTATATAGGGGTGAAGGTAGGGAGTTAGGGGGAGAATGGAGATTGACCACTAATGGGCACTGCTTTTAGGGGGAGACAAAAATGTTCTGATACTAGATTATGGTGATTGCTGCACAACTCTCTAATAAATAGAAAGTACTGAGTTGAACAATTTAAGTGGATGAATTGTGTGGTATGTGAATTGTAACTTAATAAAAATAAAGGTAGCTGTTTTTAAAAAATTCCATTTGTTCATGTTATTTAGAAAATGTCTTATCTCCTATAAGAAATTATAGACTATAGACTATATATATATGGGTACAGATCACAGTATAAAAACGGGTACCAAAATCAGGAGATTGTTGATGGTCACTAGCCATTGCAAAAGAGGAGGAATAGGGGAAGGTAGTCCTCATTTAACTCCCCACCAGTAGGACTGAATTAAGACTTCTTCCATCCAGCTGGGAGAGGAAATTCTCTGGTCACTGGAGCCGAGTTCAGAATAACTGTAGGAGGATAGCAGTGGGAGGCAGCAGTGGAAAAAGACTGAAAATGTGTGAACTGAGGTAAAGCTCAGTGACTGTCGCTGTATCATTTCTGTTGTTCACTCCTTCTCCCCACCCCATTCCCTTTATCTGGTGTTTGATTTTGTGGGCAATTACTGCCTGAATACCTTCTGTATTCCAGCTACTGTTTTCTAGAGATGACCTCCTTTTTGTCAGAGTATCTTTACTCTCTGCTTGGTACTCAGAGAACAGGAGAAACAAGTTCATAGGTAGGTAGCAGTCAGTATGTACAGCAAACCGGCAAAACAGACTTCTGAAACGAGCAGACTAGGGAGGGTAGGGGTTACTCACTTTAACAGCTGTCTGGGGGCTTGGCAGCTGTTGGCAAGTGTCAAATCCAAGTAATACCTACCCTGAGACTTTTAGTGATGAGAAAAGATAGTCTTGTATTAGACAGAGCTTCCCTAACTACTGTACTGAGTATACTTGTAGGTAACGTAATAATGCCTAAATTACACAACGGGTCTATTTTTACAAAATGTTTTTGTTCTTTGTGTATCTGTGCTGGGGGGGGTGGGTGGGTGATGATGGTGGTGGTGGAGACTGAGGGGGGAGTCAGGTTTGGGAAGGGGTGTGGGTGGAAAGCAGGATGACAGGCTACTGCCTGCCTTGACAGCTTTTCTGTACTGTCCCAGGGAAATGACAAGGAGGGGGCGGGCCGGGGGCTGAGTGTCTGTGGGGGAAGGACAGAGCCAGGCGAGGCAGGGCTGCAGGCTGAGAGGCTCACATCTTTCCCAGCAGTGCTGCGCAGTGTGTGGGTGGCAGGGGCGGAAGAAAGAAGGCAGATGATGCAGAGATGGAAGGCTGGGAGCTCCAATGATTTTCCACCTTGTTCTCGTTATTTCTACAACTGTATCACTGGTATCTCTGACGGAGGGTTAGGAAAGCCCTTGGGAATTCAAATAAACCTATCCCAGCTTGATGCAAATTAAACTCTGTAGAAAAATTAAGCCATCTCTTCATATAGACATCATTCTTATTCATTAATGAAAGAAATTCTGCTGCTGCCAGGAAAACTCCCAGCCCCAGCTTACATAATAACAGATTAATGCCGAAAAACAGCTCACACGCTTTATCAGTCACTTATTCTTGACCCTTTTTAAGGTCTAGTGGCTCTGGGAAAGTGGCGGAGGTAGGAGGTAGTTTGGACTTGGGCAGATTACAACAAAAATTATTTTGTACAAGGCTACTGCTGGTTCTGTGTAATTCTGATAAATACATAACCACATATTCTATCTCCTTTGACACCGCCTTCAAGTTTTGAAGGTTAACTATCAGGGCAAATCTACAGTCACAACATATGGACATTTATCTCAAGTATGGCAGTGTCCTGGTATTTTTAGAGTATCTCTAGAGATAAAAGGCAATGGATGTCAGAGAATAACTTAATGAACTACCTTTAAAGAACCTCTGCTTTGGGGAGAACGTGGGCTGTGTTCTATTAACTCTTGCTCTCCCAGGTACCTTTGCTTTCTCAGAAAGCAGCTCTTTTTGCCCTCAGGATTTATTCTGTCCTGCAGGATTCTACCATCCTGTTATCTGCAACAGCGATATACAGAGGAGTCAGAGAGCCTATTAGCAATCTGGTTTTCTTTCTGACACACTCAAAGAGTTAACCTCTTGGATTACTCAGATAAGATGTAGTCTGGTGTGATATTTAAGTACTCAAAGGAAAATACTGGAATAGGCTAGAGAGTTAATTTTGACTACTTTTCAACTTCAAGAAGATATGTTTTTAGAATCACAGAATTTTAACACAGGAACAAATCTTAAAGATCACTTCTTCATTTTACAGATGAGAAAACAGGTCTAAAAATTTCAATTAAAATTCTCAAGTTACAAAATATGTGTAGTCACATGAGTGTTGTTGGGGCTCAAACTCTGGGCTCTTGGCTCCCACCACACAATGTCAATTTCCCCCAGAAAAGCTTTCTGTAGAAACTAAGCATGACGGTGCTTGTGAGAAAGGAATTCTTCCATACCAATTTTTATCATACCCTGGGACTCTTAATTCAACCAGTTTTCTCTGTAGACACTAGTTCTTCTCCATGTGAGATATCCATTAAGTTAACCAGAGGTAATCTGCCTACTTAATGACAGGAGGCTGCTAATTAATTTCATCAGGAAGCCAGAATATCTGGAGGATGCGAAGTGAGTTCCTGTTGAGTTTCTAGCATGTGCTAGACTCTGTAACTACTATGATCTCAAGCCATTTCTAGTGGTTGCTGTCTGAAAATTTGCGGTGAGCTAGATTATTGATTTGGACTAGCAGAGCAATAGTTTCTGGTTTTGTTCTAAGTAACAGAAACCAGGCAGACTGGTTCTATATATATAGGTTATATAGGAAGAACATCTACACATTCTCTTTCTTCAGATGAGTTCCTCCAATAAGGAGAGGCAGGACAGCAAAGTGGGTAAGAGACTGGCCTCTGAAACAGACTGCTTAGGCTCATTTGTTTCACCACTGACTGGCTTTGAAACCTGGGAGGTCTACTTAACCTCTTTGAGCCTCAGATCACTTCTCTGTGACATGAAGATAACAGGAATTACCTTACTGAGTTGATAAGAGGATTGGGTGAATTAATATTGGTTAAGATCTTAGAGAGTGCCTGGTACTAAGGACCACATGAGTATTTTAAAAATAAGATCCTGGTGGTGATCGTTAAGCTGTGCCCTGTGATGAAAGAAGTATGAATATATATGAGATCTCAGCATCTTTTCACAAGGAAGCAGGAGAAACCCTTCAAGGACACAATGAAGTTCGAGCCCAAGCAGTGCAGTACTGATTTCAAGAGCAAGGAAACTAAAGCTGCACAAGACTGTGCCAGCTCGGAGCGAGAGGACACGGGCCCTGGCTGAGCAACAGCCGACAGTGACGGATGTAAACGGCTCTTACAGGCGATGCTGCAGTCATCTTCCAAAGGACAGAGTAACCAGACTGCCAGAAGGAAGAGTTATAAATTTATTCCCAGAGAAAGGTTTTCTCAGTCACACTTAGGTGACCACTAGATATGTGGGTTAAATGTAAACAGAGTATTACATTCTCTCTCTCAACTCTGAATTAATGGTCCTCTCACGTAAGTCAGGTTTTGCACATCAGAAAATAAAAGGATGTAAGGCTTAATATGTCAGAAAAACTTTCAGAGCAACGAAGCAGGGAGTTCTTTAAAAAGGAATACGTACGTTTGGGGGAGGCGTGTGGGCTGTCTGAGGCGATCTGTCTCATCCGTGTTCCATGGCAGCTGAGGGCCACCAGTCTGGAAATGATGGCAGTTTTGCCGAACCCAATGTTTCCCACAATCACTACTCCTTGGTTCACGCTGGCATTTGAACTCTGAAGTTGAGCATCTATTTCATGGAAAACCCAATCCCGGCCAACAAACACTGACTCTGTAGTGATGCTGGGCACTTCAAAGAGCAGAGGCTTCAGGGAGATATCTGGAGGCCTATAAGGTGCAAAATGAACTGGAAGGAACAATAAGAGAACACAGAACTTAGGCCAAACTGTCATCATTGAAAGAAATACAGAAGAAGAGCAGCATGGTTTAGGAGACTATTAGTTACAGTACGATGGTATACTTGGTTATTCAGCAAATAATACAACTCAATTTTGCTTCTACACAGATAAGCAACGGCAGATGAGCTAGGGTCATTTGATACTCCAATTGGCAGAAAACAAACATAGTTAAAATGCCAATGATTTACGGAACAGTCAGAAAGATAGGGTGATATTCAAAATTATTAAACAGTGGGGATGGCCCAGCACCAGCACTCCAAATGGATGCCAAAGTAGTACGGAAGCAGGGTCCTTAAGGCTTCCTTCTATGCCTGGAGATAATCTTTTAGCTGCTGGATTGTGGGGAGATACAGGGTTGGAGTCCCTGGGGGACAGTCTATGGCAGAGCACCCAGATGGCTTACAGCATCAGCTCTTTATCAACCAGTAAGGACGTATTTCAATATTTAACAACTAATATGGCTACTGTCTGTTTCTCTAAAAATACCAGTGAAAATAGTGATTCCTTTCAAGTTCATAATGGTATTTTTCTTTTTAATTTAGTAGGTATATTAGGATAAGCAAAGCCTCTAAAAGCTCTAATAGTTTAAAAAGTCTTCAACATGTTAAGCAGTCAAGGAAGCAGAAAACAAACTTTGACCTCAGGTATTTGCTCATCTGCTGCTTGTATTCATGCCAATTAAAAAAACAAAACCAAACCAAAAAACCAACAAAGAGTTTGGCTTATATACACCATGTCTTGGAGACAGATCCTACTGCTTTTCTCTAGATTTTTTTCTGTGCTTCTGTAGTTGTGGGATGTACTAAGATTCAAGCATGAGCTCTACTTTCAATAGTTTTCTAGAAATGCATAAGAGATGTAACTTGCTTTCAAAGATCAACCTAATTTTATTGATGGTAGAAAGAAGTGACCTCCCTTATCCGGGTTAAATGCCTTCCTAACTATTCAGAGAGTAGCTCTAAGATGTATCATTTTATCTGTCTGCAACCAGGTGGTTGTTGTTGTTGTTTTTAAAGTAAGCTCTATGCCCAGTGCGGGGCTTGAACTCACAACCCAGAGATCAAGAGTCACATGCTCTACCAACTGAGCCAGCCAGGTGCCCCAGGAACCAGATATTTTATTTTTGTATCTTTAACCTTAGCACAGTGCTTTGACAGATAGCAGGTACTCAAATAAATGTTTACTGAAAGAATTAATTGAAAATAAGGTATTATATTCTAACCCCATTTTATATTTTGGAGTATAAAGCCCAGGGGAAGGGGATGAGGACAGGAGAAAGGAAAATCATAAAAGGGGGAAATGAGATCTATTTATACTGCTTATATTATTCTAGAACATGATTAAGCCACTTAGACATCATTAAATGGGATCTAGAGATGGCAGCTTACTTGAGAAAATCTACTCACAAGCAAGCATACATGTATACACTCTCATTAAAAACTTTCTGAAAGCTATTAGAATGATAAAAGCGTTAAAAAAAGGAAAACAATTCTAAAAGTAGTGCAAATAATTAAAAATATAAAGCCAAACCCTAAAAAGAGAAGAAAACAGTTTCCTGTATCAGTTTTAAAATGTACCAAATTTTCACTTAAAAAAAAAAAAGGCTGTGGAGATTCGGCTATATAATTGCTTATAATTTCCTGATTCTCATCTCTTTAACAAAACTTATTCTTTTAAAATCCATCACTAAAAAAATAAAATAATAAAATCCACAACTATAGGCTATTATAACACTGTATGTTAATTGGACTTAAAAATTTTTAAAAATCCATTCCTATAATTACAGAATTCAGTGAAAATTTTGACTATTAACTTGCTAAATCTATTCTTTTTCATTCTAATGGCTTGTAGCTCATAGTCTATTTTACCTTTCTTAAACATTACTTTATTAAGCTACACTTTACAGATCATAAAATTCACCCTTTTAAAGTATACAGTTCAGTGGTTTTCAGGAAAGGTGACCCTTGCACTACATGGGGGATAGAGGAGCTGATGCCTCATGGAGTTGAAAATCCTCATGTAACATTTGACTCCCCCAAAACCTTACTAATATAGCCTACCTGACTCAAAGCCTTATTGGTAGCCAACTAACACATATTTTGTATGTTATACATACTATACACTATATTCTTACAATAAAGTTAGAGAAAAGAAAATGTTAGTAAGAAAAGCATAGGAGAAAATACATATAGAGCAGTGTCTGTAAAAAATCCACATAGAAGTCAACCAGCCCAGTTCAAATCTGTGTTGGTCAAGGGTCAACTATACATTTACAAAGTTGTGCAACCATCACTATCTAATTCCTGAACATTTTTATCACCCCCAAAGAAAACTCTACACCCCTTAACTGTTCCTTCCCAGTCCCCCTTCCTCCCAGACCCTGGCAACCAGACTTCCTGTCTTTACAGATTTGCCTATTCTGGACATACACGATAAATGTTATTGTGTAATACATGACCTTTTGTGTCTGGCTCATTTAGTATAATGTTTTTGAGGTTCATTCATGTTGAAGCATGTATCAGTACTTCATTCTTTTTATTGTTGAGTAATATTCCATTATATGGATATATCACATTTTGTTTATCAATTTATCTGATAAACATCTGCTTTGTTTCCACTTTTTGGCTATTATGAATTATGTTGGTATAAACATTCATGTATAAGTTTTTGTGTACATATGTTTTCAGTTATCTTGGGTATATATCTAGGAGTGGTATTGCTGAGTCATGTGGAAACTCTATGTTTAACTTTTTGAGAAACTGCCCAAACTGTTCTATTTTGCTTTTTGCTATTTTTTACAGAAGTAATACATATTCACTATAGAAAATTTAGGAATAGCAGATAAACAAGATAATAATTGTACTCCCAGTAGCCAGAGAGAAACACTACTCATATATATTCTGAATTTTTTTCTGTACCATAAATACTTATTTTAAAAACCCAAAATGGGATCATACTGTTTTATCATCTTTTTTCATTTTTCACTTAGCAATTCCAGAGTTCTGAAAAGGTTGATTCTGTCAGACTTGCCAGCTTAATGGCTACTTCAATGGGGGGACTGATTCTTGGAGCTCCCTACTCCCACCATTTTCCATGTCATTTGACAGTAGGTGGCTGCTACCTACTCGGGGCTTCCTGGGCACCTGGGAGTGCTTGGTGGGCACCCAGACAGACACACTGAGATCTGGATGAGCAGTGACAGGACTCCCCGGGAGGAAGGAGAAAATAGACCAGTTGGCTTGAGATGAGTCTAATTAGGCCTAGCGAGACTTAAAATCACACAACTGGTTTCAGAACTAGAAACAAAACCTAATTCTGACTCAAAAAAACAGGTTTTTTCCATTATATTATGGTGCAACTGCTCTATAGGATGTCACTTCCAAATCTGAAAGTGACATGAATGATCCCACTGATGACCAGGATTGATTAGGCTTAGCTGACAGGCTAAGCTGTCTTCTTTCTCCTTTACCTCTCCTGTGCTTCCCTTTAGAAACTGTGTGCTTAGCCAGAAATGACCTTTCCAGAGAGAGAAGAGCTACAGAAACTCCCATATGATTTCTACACTAACTGAATTATTTCTTCAGGTCCAAGGTTACTTTATATTTCGTATCAACGGGGCTTTCACGAATATGACCAATGCTAATTTATAATACGGAATTATGTATAGACTCAATTTAAACGCTTAAGTTTTTAAGAAAAATTCTCTTAACTTGTTCTCATGTTGACGTAATCTCCCATCATATTTTATTCTACTGAGAAAGCTTTGACATTTTAAAAAGTTATTTAAAAAATTTTCTAAAAATGTAATCAATTCACAAAAGCCTCAAGGGAAGAACAGACAAAATTAGCCAGTACCATATGGTAAAACAACTGTAGATGCCAAGAACAGCCTACAAACAATTTCTGTACCTCAGAACCTAAGGCTTTTGTCAGCTCAGTATGATAAAAGAAAGCCCTACTTCCTATGTACCAACAATAAATTTAGGGCATATGAACAAGAAAGCATTTTGGCCTGCATTGTGGGATATGGAGGTAATGGATGTTCTCTATGGAGTTCATATTCCTAAATAAATGTTTGTTTGGGATATCAGCTGTCTTCCAAGAGATTTTCTAAGGCAGAAACACTGAAATAATCCATGAGAAATTACCACTGTAACTACAGCTGAGCTAAGGGAAAAAAGATGAGCTAATCCATACCATTTAGTAACAGATGTGGCTTTCTTATCCCTGGCACTCAAGAGTTGGCAGTCCCAGCACAGCAAAGACCATCCCACCCCTCTTAAAGCATTCTAATAAAGTATAGTGGGGCGCCTGGGTGGCTCAGTTAAGCATCTGACTCGGTTTCTCGAGTCTCGCATCAGGCTCTGCACTCAGCGGGGAGTCTGCTTGAAGATTCTCTCCCTCTGCCTCCACCCTGACTCGAGGGCACGCTCACTCTCTCTCAAATAAATAAATCTTCTTTTTTTTAAGTGTACTGATACCTATAATTTACTTCAAAATTCATAAAAAATAATGGGTGGGTAAAGAGATGGGCAGATGGATAGACAGGTGATAAAATAAGGTAGCAAAATGTTCACGATATAATCAAGGTGGTGGGTCTGTAAGTGTTAATTGTAAGATTCTTTCCTTTCTGGTACATCTGAAAATCTTCCTAATAAAATGTTATAGGAAAAGAAAAACATGGAAAGGAATCACATTTCAAAAGGGCACAAAAATGAGACAAGCTTTGGAAAGTAGTTTTAAAAAGGATTTAATAACCACTCTAGACTCAGATCGGTGTGGGCATCTCTTCAGTGTGTGCATCTCTTCAATGCAAATGAGGCTTGTGGCAGACGAATGAGTTCTCTCTAGGAAACAGTCTCTGTGAGACCATCAATAAGTGTAATTATATACCTAGGCTTATGGAGAAAAGAGACCTTTGTTTAACTAAGGCAAAGTGTAAACATTA